GAGGGAAGAGGGATAAGGCATTTGATTTTAGGAATTTTGGGAGAAGTCACTTGAAGAAGGGAAGACTTGTGTGAGCAAATTGAAATTAAAAAAAAAAAAAGAGCTAACCCTTACAATTTGGCGAGTTCACCGTGACGAGCTAAAAATGACCCATTCCTAACTAAGCCCCCATTTGCCCAACAAAAATCTACTACTTTTTGATGGGTTGATGGGCTTAACCCATATCGCTAGCTCTAAAAGAGAGAGCTTGCTCTTAATTAATAATAACATATAAACTTTAGTACCTCACATGACATTAAATTAAAATATATAGATGGCATGAAAGATGAAACCAAGGGACATGGTCAATTTAGTTGATAGAAAAGCATGTTGATTTGTTAGATGAGTTAACAAAAATTATATGCATTGCAAAATAAATTGACAATGTCTAAAGTGTTTCCATTGCATCTTTAAATTTGACCATGAAAAGTTATGGGGTTTTTTCTATCCTGTCTCGATCCCAAATAGGAGGGATGATATAAAAATTTAATCCTTATCCTTTTTCATGATTGGATATAGGATATGGTTGTCGTTATCCCATTTCATACTATCCATGCCACTACTTATATCAAGCAGGTATTATACTTAAAAAGAAAAAAGTAACCATGAGAGATACATTTTAATATGTTTATATGTTGTACTATACATATATTAGATGATGGTAAATGACAATTGACAAGTTTTTTTTTATATGATTATTTGATTAGGTCAGATTCAAGCATTGGTGGGCTAATTAAAGGTAATTCTCACAAAGACATTTTATGTGTTCATATAAATTCAAATTCGAGATCTCGTGCTCAAGTCACACTATACAGCTCATTCTATTAGGACCAATGCCTGTTATTCACAGTTGATGGGTTTTAATATTCAAATAATATAACATATTTGCACTAAATTCACTATTTAATGATTATATATATTGCATAATATTTAAATTTTTATTTAATATTAATTTGTATAAAAATCAAGAATGATGCACGGCTGTATCGTTAGTTTTTGATAAAAGATCCCAGGAACTTAAGTATGATTTTGATTTAAAAAGTTGATATCTTTTGCATGGTTTTTCTAAGCCCTAAGATTTTCTTGCAAACACCCAATCAAGTCCTGTGAATTTGCCCTAATTGCCACCATTCCACATGGCTAATGATTACTAAAAAAATGCAAATTAGTGAGGGATCGTCTATTTCTCTTTAAAATACTAAATTAGTGAGAAAATTAGTGAGGGATGCTGACTTTGTAGCTTGACTTAAAATTAGCGAGAAAGTTAGCAAGAGATTGTCAATCCCTCTCTAAAATAAGAGAATTAATAAGGAAAATAATGAGAGACTACTAATCCTTTTCCAAAATAAGACAATTAGCAAGGAAAATAGTGAGAGACTGTCAATCCCTCTCTAAAATAAAAGAATTAGCGAGAAAAATAGTGAGGGGCTGTCAATTCCTCTCTAAAATAAGAGAATTAGTGAGAAAAATAGTGAGGGATTGCCAATCCCTTTCTAAAATAAGATAATTGGTGAGGGATTTAGCGAGAAATTCTATTCCTAGCTAATTACTGCAAAAAAAATTAACTTTTGACAATAACTTTTAATTATATATTTAATTATTTTCATTTAAAAATAATAATTAAATTTAAAAATTAACTAAAATAATCATAATAAAATTATTTAATATTTTATTTATTTTAAGTTGATTTTCATTAATAAAATAATATTTTATTAAAAATATAATAAAAAGAATAATTTAAATAAAATATAAATGTTTTTAACATATTAATAATTGAAAATAAAATTTAATATGTATATGTGTGTATTTTTATAATATATTATTTGATATATTTATATAGTTAAATAATATATATATACATATTTAATTTCTCATATAATAACCACAGGTGCCTTTCAGTTCAATTGGCAAAGAATGAGAATATAAGGCTTGGAAGGTATAAGGTTAAGGGTTCAAGTTTTAGCTTTGGCATAAACATGATGAATATATGATATGGTCAAGAGTAAGTGACATGGCGCAAGGTGGACAACGACGTGTCATGAGTTGTCGCACATGTAACGGGTGATGGAACGCGGGATGGTAGGTGACATGGTGGTTGACAAGGCATGAGGTTGTTGGTGACATGTTACAAATTGACATCACACATGACAGGTGATGTGGTATAATTATTTTTAAATATAGGCATATTTAGCGCGGAATTAGTGAAGGACTTATTCCTCACTAAAGATATCGAATTTTGAATAGTATTTGAGAGGGACTAGTGAGGGATTCAATCCCTAGCTAAATTTAGCGAGGGATTGAATCCCTCACCAATTAGCGAGAGAAATACGATTCCTCGCTAAATTTAGCGAGCCTTTTTTTAGCTATGAATTTAGCAAGGGATTTTAATGAGGGACAACATTTCTCACTAAAATATAATTTAACTACAAAAAATGAAATTTAATGAGGGACTTCCATTTTTCTAATAGTGAATGGTAGCAGCCCCAGCACCAATTTTTCGCTGCCACTAGTTAAAGATGCGCATTTGTCTAAAAATTATTCCAGGGAAGTCTTTGCATGAAAAGTTTTTGTGTTTGTTGGATCACTTGGACGAAGTTAAGGAAGCTTCCTCTGCCTTTTCATTGAGGTAGAAAAAATTTAGACAGTTTAAATTAAATATTTTTTTATTTTTAAAATAAAAAATATATAAAAATTATAAATTTTTTTATAAATATACTTATCAATCTGACAGTTCACATTTAATATGGATTTTCAAATTTAATATTAAAATTTTTTAATAAGTTTATTGCTCTATTCAAAATATATCTGCACTATTTAAAATATATTTTAAAAATTAATTTAAATTTTTAATATTAAATTAAAATAATTTATATTAAATTTGAACTGTTAGATTAACAAATATATTTATTAAAATTTTTATATATTTTTTATTTTAAAATATAAATTTAAAATATTTAATTTAAATTGTTTAAATTTAATTTAAATTATTCAGATTGATTCAGATTTAATTTAAATAATTTAAATTTTTTTCTCCTTCAATGGAGAGAGAGAGAGAGAGAGGAGGCTTCTCAGTGAAGGGAAGCCAAGTCTCACTTGGACACGTCCTTCAATTCCGCAATACGTACAATTTGGTAGATCTCCCTGATTGACAGAGACCATATCAAGAGAAGACTGACGTGAGAGTCTTCGATCGTTTTCATCTTGTGGACCAAACATATTCTTGCTTTCGCACTTGCCGTTTTGAGAATTCAGTATAAACACAAGAAATATTTGTATGCAAATGAAGTGTCAGAAAAGTTAGAACCCAGTGAAACCATAATTTCTCCCTTACCCCAAATTTGCATTACCTGTTCTACAAGTTTATTCGACAAATTCAAAGCTAAACTTTACGCTTTTTTCTTCATCAAATTTTACATTTTTCAACTGTTGGAATAATTTTATAAAATTATTAATATGTGAATTTCATTATTTAATTATTTAGAAAATTATGTAATGAAGCAAATCGGTTTAGTGAATTAAAAAAAACTAATTCTGATAATGAGAAGATGTTGAGGAAAATACAAAAAGTTACGTGTCCAGAGTCAGCAAGGTTGATGGGTGCGTTAAACTCTATTAAGTTTCCACGTAGTGGTTTTTTTGCCCAGATTTGACGCAGCCACTGAAACTTCTACCTTATGCACGTGGCTGTTGAATTTGGATATATGCACTACAAGATATACGTTGATGAAGCAATTCCTTCACTATTTTTTTTTTTTTTGAGCTCAGAAATAACACAATGTGAAATAATGAAGAGATCGATCTATAATTATGAAATCAATAGCAACATGATACACAAAAATGATACAATGAACTGATAATTTTACTCTTAACTGATATATGTGATATATATATATATATATATATATTCTGCATTTTAGTTCAGCTTTTCTTTTCTCTTTTTCTCCCCTCCCCAAATTTCTTTATTCCTTCCTTCCTTTCTTTTTCTAGAAAAGGTGGGATGAGACTTGAGAGTGTCTTCAACTTTTCACATATATGCCATTTATAGATATATAGTATAAACGCGGGAATCATTTTTGCAGAAATGTCATCACATTTCATTCAAACAATATCATCACCTTCAAATGACATGCATGTGGCACTTTTTCTGTGCGTTTATTTGACAGAACCAGAAGTCTCGATACAGTTGTATTTTCAAGTTATTTTTTTTCTGTATTATAATTAAGAAAATTATTCAAGTCGCACAACGTTTAATTTTGTTTGTTTACTTATAAACTACAAGGATCTTCAATTTGCGAAATGTTTTTAAACTATAAGGACTTCAAAAATAAGAAATACAAAACTTTGTTAATTCTCAATGCCTACGGGTTTTAGAAAAAATCATTTTGTTTGAATGAAATATGATGAACCGTAAACTGATATGTTCAATAAAAGCTTACTTAAGTTTTGTGTTTCAAAAAATAATGCGAGTAAATAAATCATTGTTGTTAATCAATGCATAAATTATTTAGACTTTATTATACATTGTTAACCAACAGACTTTCAACATGAAGTATAATTTAATTAGAAAATGGAACTTACATGCATATTGACGTCCATTGTTAAATGAAGTCAATCGGCTTTGTTTCCCATACAGTACTATTTTATTATTTGACTAAATTAAATATAAAAATATTAAAAGAATTCGATGCTTTAAAATGAAAGACGGTTGTTTCCATGTCATATCAAAATAGCTGTTCACTTTATAAGACTCAGTCCACTCACATGAACTCACCTAATCTTCATGATCCACTCGCCATAAAGAAAGTGATGACTCAGTCATAGCTTCAAGATATTTTTGACGATAGAGATGAAACAGAGGGACAGAAAGATATGGTTTTCACTGTGAAAAATTACCCACAAGGTAAATAATATAACAAATATTATATATCTGGGTCATTGCTTTTTAAAGAAAAGCCACGCGAATGCACAAGCAAAACATGAGCACTTCTCTGAGTGTCCGTTTTGCTATTCTCTTCTTCTTGTCTGAAATTGTAGGATTAGGCTTGTGTGGGAATTTAACAGTGGCATGCTTAGAAAAAGAGAGGCAAGCTCTTCTCAAGTTCAAAGCGACCCTCACCGATCCATCAGACAGGCTTTCTTCTTGGAATTCCAACGATTGCTGCCATTGGAATGCTGTGACCTGTGACAGTGTTACCGGTCACCTTCTCAAGCTCGATCTAAGGAATCCATGTTACAGCTCAACGGACGCAATTTGTGACTATAGCCAACAATCTGTTGCAGCTTCACAAATTGATCAATCTCTCATGCAATTGGAACGCTTGAGTTACTTGGACTTGAGTGGAAACCAATTTCATGCTGCTCCAGTTCCTCTTTTCTTTGCTTCTCTGCATCAGCTAAGAAATCTTTCTCTCTCCAACGCTAATTTTAGCGGGAAGATTCCTTATAATCTTGGCAATCTCACGAACCTACTCCATCTTGATCTCAGCGTCAATGGTTTCCAACTCACTGACATGAACTGGGTTTCTGGGCTTCGGTCACTGCAAAGCCTTGACATGCATGGTGTAGACCTTGGGAAAGCACATGATTTATTCCAGGTATTTTACAAGCTTCCTTCCTTATCAAGTTTGAATTTAGCGGAGTGTGAAATTCACTCCTTGATTCCTCCTCTTCACTCTCTGAATTTGACCTATATTCCAAGGATTCAAGTTCTTGATCTCACTTACAATTCACTTGAAAGTCGCAGTCTTGATGTTCTCCAAAACATGACTTCTCTTAGAGTCCTTGCCCTTCCTTTCAACAATCTAAGTTCGTTGCCATTGTGGCTCGGTAAATTTGATAAGCTTGAGGAACTCTATGTTGCTTATAATGGACTTACAGGTCCGCTTCCTCTTGCTCTCCAAAACTTGTCTTCCATGAGAGTCCTTGACCTTTCTTCCAACAATCTCACAAGTTCTGTTCCGTCATGGTTAGCTGAGCTAACAAACCTTCGCCAGCTAATTCTTTCCTCAAATAATTTCACTTCTTTAGAATCTTCTCTATCTTTGATTCTGAAGAACATGTGCCGTTTGAAAAGATTAGATTTTTCAACCAACAATTTCCATGGAAAAGCATTTGGAAGCTTTGAATCTGGATGTGTCAAGCATGATCTTGAGCAGCTTGACTTGAGCTCTAATAAATTTGAGGACTATTTACCGAGCTGGTTGGGGAACTTGAAAATCTAAAGGACCTTCATATATCAGAAAGCACATTCTATGGTCCCATCCCCTCTTGTCTCGGAAAATTGTCACAGTTGACAAGACTTGAACTTGTTAACAATCGTTTAAACGGAACAGTTCCAGAAAGCCTTGCAAAGCTTGTGAATCTAACTTTCTTGCGTCTTTCCGGCAATCAATTGGAAGGGTTTATTCCAGAGAGTGTTTCACAACTGGTGAATCTGAATTTACTTGACCTTTCAAACAATCGTCTCAATGGCAGCATACCACGAAGTTTGGGTCAACTTGTAAATTTGCAATACCTCGGTCTTGCCAGTAATGATTTACAGGGTGACATTCCAGACAATTTTGGGCAACTTGTGAAGCTAGTTGAATTAGATGTTTCTTTAAATAGCTTGAGAGGATCAATATCAACATTTAAAGGATGGTCATTTGATCAGCTCACAATCTTGAATCTCTTTGGTAACAAGATTAGTGGATCGTTGCCTGAAAATATTCACGACATAATGCCTGGGTTGAAGTATTTGCTTCTTGGGAATAACTCCATGAATGGTTCGATACCAAACTCGTTGTGCAAAATTTCCACCTTGCTTCGACTTGATCTCTCCAAGAACAAATTGTCAGGAGAAATTCCAGATTGCTGGCAGGATAATCAACAATGGGATGAAATAAACTTGTCATCCAACAACCTATCAGGTGGTATTCCAAGCACATTCGGTAATCTTTCCTCGTTGCTGTGGCTGCACGTGAACAATAACAGTCTTCACGGGGAGCTTCCAATATACTTGAGGAATTTAAAGCAGCTAGTGATCATGGATGTTGGGGAGAATCAATTTTCTGGAAGCATACCGCCATGGACTGGGGACACTTTTCCCATGCTACAAATTCTTAGACTGCGACAAAATAAGTTGAATGGTAACATTCCTTCACAGCTTTGTCAACTCACGTCACTACAAATCTTGGACCTCGCAAGCAACAACTTAACGGGTTCAATACCTCACTGCATTTGTAATCTTAGTGGAATGATTAAATCCAACAGATCAAATGAAGCCAAAGTAAAATTTGATTTCAATTTTTTTACAACCGACTTCATTGATGAGTGGCCTACTGAGGATGTTATACAAGTTGTGAAGGGGACAGAACTTGATTACATCAAAATATTGAAGTTTGTGGTGAACATGGATCTGTCTGATAACAACTTGGGAGGAGTTGTTCCTAAAGGTGTAACTCAGCTCAACAGACTGATTGGCTTGAATCTGTCTCACAACTATTTGAAAGGAGGGATTCCTGAAAGAATAGGAGATATGAAATCACTTGAATCTCTCGACATCTCCTGTAATAACATTTCTGGAAAAATTCCAGAAAGCATGTCTACTTTAACTTCACTGAGCCACTTAAACCTGTCATACAATAATCTTTCAGGAGCAATTCCAACAGAGAACCAGTTTTTGACTTTGGGAGACCAACGTATTTATGCTGGCAACCCTCATCTATGTGGAGTTCCACTTCCAAATAAGTGTAACGGCGGTGATTTTGATGATCGTGTTCATGGAAGTGAAGGGTCTGAAGATGATGATAAGGATTCAGAGAAAGTGTGGTTTTATTTTGTGGTAGCGATTGGGTTTGCAGTTGGGTTTTGGTCTGCAATTGGGACACTCCTGTTAAAGAAGAGTTGGAGATATGCTGTGTTTCGCCGAGTAGATGATGTGGCAGACGAAATATATGTGACCGTGGCATTGAAAGTAGCAAAGCTGAAGAGGATGATGAGGAATCATGTTGAAGTTTGAACCCTCTCCTAGCATTTGTGATTTCTTCCCCTTCATTTTCTCTCTCTCTATTCCAGTAACTAGAAAATGTTTTATGCGTGTGTTGTGTATTGTAACTGTTTTCTGCACTGTACACTAGCTTCTTGGAATAAACGACACTAGGAAATGAAGAATTGTTAAACCCCCGAAAAAAAAAATATTGTTTCTATCGTTATCACCACTATACCAGTTTGTCACTCTTCACATAGAATTGACAAATTTAAAAATTTTAAAAATTTATTTGAACTTTTTTATTCAACAAAAAAAAGGGTTCTGAGCACTATTTTGAATTTTTTTTATCATACCATAAAAATGATTCAATTTTGATACTAATATATAATTGATTAATTTTATAATTAAAAAATTTTAAACATATGTATTTGATTTTATTTTTGTCACAAAAAATACTCAGATTCAACTAGGTTCATAAAAAAAACCTAGGCTTTTAACATTTTTAAATAAAATTTTATTTTATTTTATTTACTTTTTTTTTTTAAAAAAAGCAAATCAGTGATAGGTCTCAAAGACCATATTCTTTTTATCGTGTTAATGTTCTATGTGGTACTCAAAAGTAAAAACAAACCATGAGGAGTGACAGAGAATCTCGAGGAGCAATTCTACCCCTTTATTTTCTCTCCCCTCTATTCCAGCAACTAGATTCTACAGAATGTAAATATTTTAACTAAGAATTTAAAATGCCAATTTTGTATTAATTTTTGATTTCTTTTCATTGTATGCTTTCATTAAATTAGATTAAAAGACAGGCATACACAGAAAAATTAAAGGACACTAAAGCAATGTAGATTAAATTGTCATCATACATATAAAGATGTGATGGTAGAAGTAGTGAACTCATATATGGTTCAAATTTATCTAAATTCTAACTCTTGTGCAATACATAGACAGGACAAGCTGTCAAAAATTACCAATAAAATTAGAAAAGGAATTGCCAATTGATCACCTAAACGTAAATGGCTAAATTTGCAATTCTCAAGAGCTAGATGATTGGTTACACACTTTACATGGTATAGTTAAAATATAGTAAAAATACATAGTAATAATTATTTTCACCAAAATTTAGGGAAGATACAATCTTACATTGTGTAATTTAAAATAAAAAAATTCAAAAAGTGGAAGGATAATTTTAAAGTTAGCTTGGAAAAAAAAAAGTTTAGTGAATCATGAATGAATCGAGTACAGCTCCTCACTTTTTTGCTTATAAACTCTGTCAAAAAGAGGTGTGTTGTGCCATGTGAGTCTTATATTTCCCTTCCTCTATTAATTTGTTAATAAAGTGAAGTACACCATTATTATTATTTTTTTTTTGGAAAAAACACCACTGCTTCTATTCTCCCAAAAGTTAGAAGTTAAAATTTTTTCTCAAAAAGGAAAAAAGTTAAAATTATTTTTGTGAGCACTGTATTTTGTCCGAACATTTTTCTTAATTTAATAAAAATAATAATAAATAAATAATAATAAAAATATAAAAAACAAAATTTAACCCTTTTCAGGATTATTTTTTTAAAAAAATAATAAAAAATAATCTAACAAAATTTAAAAAAAAATCTTGCCTAAACTTAAGAAAAATCTTTCCCAAATTATTCTAACTATTTAAAACATTGGGAATTAACTTTTGAAAGTTAAATTTTTTTAATTAACTTTAAAATTAGGTTAACAAAATAAAAAAATATAATAATAAAAATAAAAGGGTGGGTGAAATGATATATCACCCACCCCAAAACATTACTTTCCACGGCAAAAACAGAGTTAGACGCAGCAGAGACAGTCGGAGCACACACAGCCATAGCAACACTTGAACCAGACATGATAGAACAAGAAAGAAAGCAGGAGAAGCACTCGGTCAGACACAAAACAAGAAGGAAAGAAGCAGAGAAGCACCGTACGGAGAGACCAGAGGAAACACGACTACACAGAGATGAAGAAAGAGAGACGGAGAACTAGAGAGTAGGAAGAAAACGGAAGGAGCACACACGAAACCAGTGACAGAAGTAGAGGAAAGAAGGAACAAGCCGGAGGTAGGAGCTTTCGGCACACATGCAGAAAGTGCAGCGAAAGAAAGGGAAAAGCACGAAGGGAGAAGAAGCAACATATGATGACACAGCAGAAGAAGAGGAAAAAGAAAAAGAATGGACGCACGCAAAGGGGACGAAGATCCGAGACTGAAGGAGAAATTGGTAAATCGTCTTTCCTTCCCACTCTATATAATGCCTGAAATTGAGAATAAAGGAGATCGAGAAGGGAGAGGACGTGTTTTCGGAAAAGAGAGTGAAAAAATAAAGAGGAGCTGCTAGGGAGAGAAACCGAAAGAATGAGGGAAAGTGTTGTTCTGGTTAGAGAAAGAAGAGAGAAACGGTGAAGACGACGAGAATGAGTAATTTTTGAGAATAAAGGAGGCTGAGAGGGAAGGAAAAAAGGCCGAAGAAGACGCATACGATCAGAGAGAAGGAGTTTTGAAAAAAGGAGGCTGAGATCAACGAAGATAGAATTGAAAGAGGACCTGCGATTTTCAGAGTGAAAGAGGAAGAGACATTACACAGGTTTCATGATTTATTTGTCTTTGGATCTGGAATGTTTCATAGTTAATTTCATTTCAACTTGCATTATCTGGGATTAGTTGCTGCTCATGAACTCTGCAAACGTTTTATATGTTGTTCTTATATGGCTTGGCTAGAATAATTATTCTTCTTCGGTCATGAGTTTAGATGGATTAAATGGTTGAAAATATGAGGTTCATGTCTTATGTGAAACCTTTCAATTTAATTACCATATATGTGGCTCTAGATAGCAAAAGTGATTTGGGTTTACTCTCTTTAAAAATTAAGTATGTTCTTGTTTTGCAACCATCCAAAAATTAGTCTTTGTGATTAATCCTTTAAAAAAAAATTTCACTCAATTAATGTTGCTTATGTTGTTGATAACTTATGGGGAAGGCATTTTTAAAAAACTACACTTGGTTGTCTCTTAAGCTATAATTATAAAAATTGTTAGGTCATTTTAACAATTGAAGTTTAAATCTGCATGAATGTGACCATGTGTGTTTAATAGACATAGCTTCACTTGTCTCAAATAAAATTAATTGTGTAAAATCGTATGAGTCTCCATAACCAATTAAAATGATTTCATACTGTGTAAATCAATAAGATTTTACAGGCATGAGGATCAATCTTGTACATATTTATATAGGTTCCAATGGCCTATCATTAAATTCAACTCTCCTTTTATGACTCAGATTAATAATTTATTTAAATCTTGTGTGAGATTTTAAGAATCTTCATAGAGATTTAAATTAATCACATCATTGTGGGGATAATAAGTCCTCGCAGATGCAGTGATTCTCAATTTTTATAAATAAATAATTTTTGGAAAATAATCATATAATACACAATTTAGGAAATTAATTAACCAAATTAATGTATTTAAATTTAATCATATTTACCGATTATATTTTTTAGTCATGAGAGATTTTTGAATCTCCGTAGACTTCTAAGATAATTGTATTATCGTATGAGTCAATAAGACTCTGTAGATACAACGATTAAGTTTTTAAAATATGTATATAAATTATATATTAAATTAATTAAATTAAAGACGTATTTAAATTTAATTCCTTTATCGTGTGAGATTTTAGAATCTCCGCAGATATTTAGGATAATCATATTACCGTATAAGTCAATAAGGCTTTGCAGGTATGTTGATTAAAATTCTTCAAAACATGTATCTACATGCTAAAAAAAATTATTATGAACACTTAAAAATGTACATAAGAATATAAATAAATAAATTAAATTGTCAAACTCTTTTATCGTGTGAGATTGCAGAATCTCTGAAGATATTTAGAGCAATTGCATTATCGTATGAACTAATAAGGTTCTGTAGGTACTGCGATTAAAATTTCCAATCATAAAATATAAAGAAAAATAATTTTAAATCCTTTTCTTTCTTTATTCCAAAAATTTAAAAATAGAGAAAATAATTAAAATTAAATTACCTTTTGCAATTTAAAATACACATATCAAAATTTCAGAAATTGTTTTATTTGCAAAATGGTGAATTATTTTTAATTAATTTCTCTTCAAAAAAAATATTTTCACCAACAAACTTTTAAGCCCGAACTACGTGGACTTTGATCCCCATCACAGGGTACGTAGGCCTCAGAGTCAGATTCTGAGTCAAGTCCGTCCTCTCTCGTAAATAAATAAACATTTCTCACTTAATTCTTATCACTTTTATCAAACACATGAATATAAAAGGGATAATTAAAATAATTATAAAATTATATTAATAGAGCACAACAAACTTCAGGTAATCGTTCTGATGAACGGGTGTTGTGGGGTGCCTAACACTTTCCCCACACTCAAGCGACTCCCGAACCTATTTTCTGATTACGCAGACCATCCTTATCCTCCTTTTAAACGGTTTCCCGAGATTTACCTCAAAATCTTAGTGGTGACTCCTCGTTCGATCCGATTCTTGCTGCGAAGGCCGGGACCTCCGCTCCCGCGCCGTCCGCGTCACATTTTTCCAAGTGCAACAATTTTTAAGTACATGACGTGATATTTTTTTGACACTGATGGAATTTGAGGAGGAAAAACATACCTTGAGTCGTTAATTCGCACGTACGTATGTGGGAACAAAGTTACACCGGTTAAACTTCGTTCGGATACACAGCAAATGCACTCTTTGAGAGAATGAGTTGTAAGGAGAAAATAAGTCCACTGAAAATTGAGAGCGTTCAGTTTCTTCCTTCATGCAGAGAACAATTGAACCGACTGAGAACTGTACCCATAACCACCTCTTATGGAAACGTGTGGCAATTTCTCCCTAACCGCTCATCATTCAAAATCAAAGGTTGGAGAATATTACGTTTTAATACCCTGAGTAAATTTCACATTGAACCTAAACATTTTTCATAATTGTCACAAGAGCCCCATTGACACTACTGTCGAATAGCACCAAAATTAATAAAAACTAGATTTTGCAGTAAAGTGCAACCTAGGTCGTCTCCCTAAGAGTCAATAGAGTAACTATTTAAATTATGATTATGAAAAGGTAAATAATGGGGGTTTTTTTTATGATGAAATTAAAAACTAAATTAGAAATAAATAAATAGAGGAAATTCAACTAAGAAAATTACCGAGAATAAGCAGCGCAA